AGCCGCGCTCTGGGTCACCTATAGTGTTTGACAGCTGTCCGCATCTGTATTTTTCGGATGGATCGGATGGGGGGTGCGGGCTCTGGATATGCCTGCCGGCCCTGCCGGGCATGCAGGACGGCTGCAGCGAAACCTAGAATGCAGCTTATAGCGGTACCGCTGCAACCGCATTCTGCGTCTAGTACCATACGCACACCTGATTCACATGAACAGGTGCCAAAATGACCTGCTGCTGATGGGCGTAGGGCTAAATACAAACTGGTCAGATGGGGGGTGCGGGCTCTGGATATGCCTGCCGGCCCTGCCGGGCATGCAGGACGGCTGCAGCAAAACCTAGAATGCAGCTTATAGCGGTACCGCTGCAACTGCATTCTGCATCTTATACCGTGTGTACACCTGATTCACATAAGCAGGTGCCAAAATGTCCTGCCGCTGACGGGCGTAGGGCTAAATACAAACTGATCGGATGGGGGCGTAAGTTCTTGCCGAGACTGCCGGCGCACGACTTAGACGAGATACTCCGTTCTTCAGCGAATCTAACACCCATACAGTCAAATGATGCTGCGTTCATATGAGTGCGTTTCCACAGCCATGAATGTCACACAAGGTTGAGATAGTCAAAACTGCCGCAGCAGTGACATTTTATTCATGATCGATGTAAAAGTACAGGGGGAGCGGGGGTGATTGAGCAAGATGAATCGTGAGTACAGCAATTAATGGTGAAGAGAACGTAAAGTAAGTGTGATGAGCATGAGGTCCGTATGTGATACTAGAGTCCATGAGGCATATGTACAGCAAGAAGATATGGGCAAAATCAGAAAGTAACAAAAAAAAACGAGAACAAGCTCTAGCCAACGACGAAGTCCGAAGTCACGAGAGGCGATGCCGGACGTGCCGCGCCTGCCGACGATGAAGAGGGCCTACTTGGCTGACCTCGCCTTCTTCGTGCCGGCAGCCGCAGGTGAAGGCTCACCCTCTTCCGCGTCCTTGCCGCGCTTGCGCTTCTTCGTAGCGTCCGGGGCAGGACTCGGCTCCTGGGGGGGCCCACGG